TTAAAAAAAAAAACCAAAAAACAATGTATTTTCTGGTTGTGCAAAAAATATACCAGTTGTAAAATTAACTTCCACAAAGAATAAATGGAGAGTAAATATATATATATGTTTTTTTAACTATGTGAATTTGAATACAGTTGCCCAGATTCTATGGCACCAAACAAACCCTTCACCCCATCAACCTGCTTTAGAACCCTGAATCTAACGTTGGTCTGAAACATTGCAGACTGTTGTGATACTACTGAAGATGACTTGTGCTGCTATAAAACAATGTGGAATGTTGTGTATTTTTGTGATTTTGTAGAATAAACGGTCAGGTTCCAGAAGAATTTATTTGAATAACTGCTCCTAAAAAGGTTGGAGCCTGGCCTTCAAAGTGTTTAAAGAGCTTGAAACCTTTCCTAGATTGATGGGCAGCAACAACAACCAAGGTCAATGTTTCCCCAAAATGCATTTTTGTCAAGAACTCACTGAGTGGCTGAAAATGAAATCTTCAATTTGCAAGCATTCTCAGCAAAAAGACCACTTCCATGTGGATGACAGGTGCAAACACAGTGGAAGAAATGTGTTTTGAAAGGCATCCATGTTAGTGGGGACACACACCGATTCAGACAGGCATTTTCTGTAGACGACTGAAGACTAGATAGTCTTTTTATTATCACACATTTATGCTTAAAAAGCTAGAAATGCTATACAAGTCTGATGTCATTCCATTGGAGGGCAATGGTGGTAGGAGTTCACCCTGCAATCTGTGGGTCACTGGTTCGATTCCCACTCCATCTGCCTCTGTCGTATCCTTAGCCAAATTACTTGACTGCAATTGTGACTACAGTCCAACAGCTTGCCACCAGTGTGTGAATAAATGGAAATTATTGATATCTTTGCAAAGCATTTTTGAGGGTCCTGAAAAGTGCTATACAAGTCTGGTGTTAATTCATAAAATGTGAAATTTAAAGATAATGACAGAATCCCTACTGAAAAGAAGCTGCTGTTGGGTTGTGATGGCTGACAGGATAAGAAGGTGATCAAGCACCGGCCACCTCTGGTACCTGACGGGTCACACCAGGTGCCACACATGGAGACTGACAGCTCTCTATACTTGTCAAAATAATACATATTTACTGATGAGTTACAGGGAAAAAAAAGAAAATGTAAATACAGAGACAACGAACTATGCTTTGTGTACACAACCCAAATATGGAGGACTTAGAACCCAGGAGTCACGGGTTCGACTCCCGGCCCCAGCAACATTTGCCGCATGTCTTCCCCTCTCTCTCCGACCCCTTTTTCCTGTCAGCCTACTTTCAAAGAAATTATGGGCCAGTAGAGCCAACAAAATCCTCGGAGAACAAAATTTTTTTTTTTAAATAGATAAAAAAATATTGCTTATTTTGTTGATCCATAGTTTGATTAATATGTGATTAGTTGCAGACCCTGCAATTAACCACATTTAAAAATTGGATCAAGTCCCACCTCTAATCAGAAGATATTAATGTTAGACATATGGAGTCGAGACGAAACCGGAAATCTAAAAGTCTCTGACTGTAACAATAATGAAAAATACATTAAACAGAAATATTAGCTTGCTCACTTAAATGGTAGCTTCAGACCACTGTCGTTTGGTATGAGTGATATAAAAGACCATCCATCTTTCATATTGAATTCAAAGAAACTTGTAGCCGAAGCATTGTGGGCCTCGAGTTATTAGATTTAAAGAATGTTCAGCATTCGATTATGGAATTCCAAAATGAAACATAAGTGCACTAAGTTTAAAACTGCTCAAAAAATATTTCAATGTCAACAAAAGGCCTTGAGCAACATTGCCATTTTAATAGTCTGTCCTAGCAATTCAAACGGCTAACTGATATCATTCACCAACCAGTCACTGAAATCTGCTGCCGATTTGATGTACTGAAAAGCAGCTACTGACAGCTTGATTTCATTAAACAGGACAAGATGAAAGTTAATTACTTTTTTTTTTTTGGGCTATGATGCTAAAACAACTGGCAGTTGGTTGACCTGCCTCTGGGGGGTGGGGAGCAGAGGAGGTGCAGGCAGTGAGATGCAGGCAGTGAGATGTGGGGAGTCAGGCTGCAGTGTGTCTAGACAGTATTCATGATCCATCTGTCTGCCACCGCCACGGCAACAGCCAGCGGCAGCAACAAGATGGCAAACTCCATTACCAAGCAAACATTTGCTACATCTCTATCATTATCCTTCTCCTCTATTCCCCCCTCATCCCCTTTCTTTTCGTCTATCCCAACGTCGAGCTCCATCTTCTCTCTTTCATCGCTCCTCTCCCTCCGTCTCTGTCTCCGATCTCTTCAAAACCCTGTCAGCTTTTTTTTTTTTAGCCAATAACTCCCTTTTCTACTTTTCTCTCTTCCGTCACCCATCCCTCGCTCCCTCCGGGTCTCTCAGGCATCGCAGGAAAATGTGCACCCGCTCAGAAAATTACAATCGCTCTACCGCTTTTCCCACAGCAGACACATTAGCATTCACCCCAGACACCTGAATACAGTATTTTAAGTACCCATCTCAAGGTTGTATTTATCAGGAATGACCCCCCCCACCCCAAGCCCCCATACTCTATCAAATGCCTGCCAAAACCCCCTAACCCCATCAACAAAACAAGAACAAACCAAAAAGAAAAAAAGTTTCTAACTGCACCTTGTGGGATGTGAGAGAGGTAGACAGAAAAAGAGAAGGGGGGAAAAAAATAGATGAATTCACAAAACAAGGTTGGAGAGGTGAAAAGCATTTAAGGGGAGGGGAGGAGAAGTGGATGAGGGAGGGGGAGATGAGAGAAAAAGATGGAGGAGAAGGTAAGGAGCCCTGCCAGACACACACGTACCGCTCTCTCTCAGAAACCCAAGGATGAAAGTGCTGCTGTAAAAAGTTTCCCCTCTCCTCCTAAAAGTTGTTGAAAGCAACTGCTGCAGCACATCAAAGTGGTCTGGCAGACAGCCATCGAAGAAGCCCACTGGTGTCCTTCACCCTCTCTCTCTCTTTCCCTCTCTCTCTCCCTCTGTCTCTGCATCTGCCCCCCTCACTCCCCCCTTCCCCTGCTGTTCCCATTGATCACGACGAGCTGAGGGAACACTCTCAACTCGCTCCCTGGACAGTGGAGCTCAACAGTTCATATTGAGCTCATATAGTGCGACGCAAACAAATCCACAAGTACGGCACAAAATACAGAGAGCAAAATGCTTTTCCCCCTTAAAGGGGCAGTAATATGAATTTTCCAGAGATACATTGGTATTTTGTAGCACATTCAAGCAATTATATTACCTTCAGTTGTTATGAAAATTATATACATATATTTCTCAAATATGATTGAAACAAAGTTTGACTTTGTAATTCTTGAAATTTGCTCTGTTTCTGAAACTTCACCTTTTAGTCAAACTTTAACAGGAAATACACAAACCACTGATAATTGGCTCACTTTTTTCCAGTAAATCAGACACGGCCATATGCAAAGCTGCTCCCTCAGACAGGAACTTGGGTCATGACACCAATGAACTTTCAACATGGTGCAGCTCAATGTAAATGTAAATGATAAATAAATAGACAAATCAGGCTTATTCTTGATGAACTGGGTGCATAACTGAAGCTTTGGAATAAAATTGGCCGTTCCACCTTAAACATCTGAAAACTCATTTTTGTGACAAGTTCACATCACTTTAAATGAACGAAGTTCATTTTTAAAACATTTTCACATTAAAAGGCCCTCAACATATTTAAACTGAGTGCTTAGGTATAACTGTGAGAAAATAAATTAAATCCAATTTATTTATTTGATTACAGTCAAATTTGTAATTCACTACACATAAAAAACTCACTTGAGTTTAATTGAGTGTTACTAAGACCTTGACCAAAGACAGGTTACCTTCGCTCGGCTTTTTCAATTAAATACATGATTCTATTTACAGCGTGGGGAAAAGGGACATATTTTTAATTTCTTTTTTTTTTACCTTAAATGTAATGTAGCAAAAGTTAGAAAAACTGCATCTATTCCGATTTTCAGTCACAAACATGCAACAGTATCGCAACTAAAGATCCTCTGATCCCTGTGATGCTGGATCTGCACAGTTAAACACAATATGTCCCATCCAAGGACAGATACAGACTGGTTTAAAACAAGAAGAAAAGAGGGGAAAAAATGAATCACACAGATCTATTTGAGCTCAAACCTCTAGTTAAAGTCTGTATCTGTCCATCTCAGTGCGAATTACAGCAGAAGTTGCTAAAGCAAAAACCAGAAAAACATGCATGAGAAAAAATTTCCTGGTTGTTTTCAGCCGTGATGCCAGCTGGAGGAGAGAATTTATCAAGGATCAGATATAACTACTAATTCGAGTAGAAACGTCTGCAGTAGAAGATTTTATCAAACCAACTGCTTGAGCTGGATAGAAATCACTGTCTAGAAGAAATGAAGGTACACCAACCATCCCAAGAAGATGTAAAAATGAGTTTTTACATCAATTTTGGTTTATTTATTGGCCCTGAACAATAAAAGAACCAGCCATTGTCCTGGAGGCAGCCCAGCAGCCATGACAGGTTTCCATTTCTGGTCTCCAGCATTAGTGCGTGTTACTAAGGAGATTATTAATGAGCAGCAAAAACTTCCTAGAATGTGGACAGACTGGAGAGTGTCAGTGTCTTCTCTGCATGAAGAGGAACAGAGGACCAGGTCTCCTTTTGATGATTCATTACATTGTTTTCTTAAATATACAGGGGAAACTTTGAAAATGAAGAGTTGATTTTCAACTCTCGGTTTGATATTTCTGTTTTTTAAACTTTAGGCATCAGTTGTGTAGAAAACAAAGAAGCCATGTCTGTGTCCCGGTGGCTGACAAGAGCAACCGGCAGATGAGACAACAGTAAAACAGCAGGTAGATGAAGTAAAAGAGACAAACAGCAAAAAAAAAAGGAAAGATTTTTGTGTTTCCAGTATCAGACAGAGGAGCTGAGGTGGAGCAACATCCCGCAGCACTTACAGTTGAAGATTCCAGGTGGAGGGTGCTGGGTCACCACGGGACAGTTCTCCTCGTCACTGTTGTCCCCGCAGTTATTCAGCTGGTTGCAGATCAGCGAGCCCAGACGCAAGCAATTCCCGTTGGTGCAGTGGAACTTGCACTCTGCGCAGACCGCAGAGCAGGGCGGAGGAGGCGGGGAGGGAGGAAGAGGAGAAACTTTTCTTAGCGTTGATATTAAAAGCAATTAGTCACATCAACAGACGTGAGCTTCAACAGCAGCGAGCCGCTTTTTATTGTAATTAAGCAAAATGTTCGGCGGTCACGCCACCTTTGAAGAACAATAAAATATGCCGGCTGCATGTGGTAGGACATTGTTACATTAAAACAAAAAAATAGAATCAGGTGATGGACATCGTACAACAACAACAAAGATGTATTTTTGATAAAAACACAGTGGCCTTGCGCTACTACTGATAAACTAATTGGTCTACAAGTGAGAAACTGGGCTGAAGTTTCTCGTCTTAGTGTTCAGAATGTGCAAGGTTATGTGTAAAACCAAACACAAAGCAGAGTTAATGGTTTGAGTTTACATGAAAACAAGGTCAGTCAACAGAGAGGAGGAAAAGGGCCTCCCATGAAAAACAACAATTGAATAAACAGCTTCTTCTTTTCTCTTTTCTTTAAATGAGCCTTTGATGTTCAGCAGCCTCAGACCATAATGTGCTCTCGTCATGGGTATTACCAAAACGCTTTCCTTCTAAATATTAATATGCCTGATTAGCACTATCTGCTGAGGGGGAAGAAAAAAAAACTAACTCTCAAACATATGAATGTGAGAATGAAAAATATATTCTGGAGGGAAAGAATAACCGAGCAGATCTTTCATCATGGTGAGGGATAACCACGGTGACAAAGTGTTTGATGCACTGGAAAGCAAGGCTGTGTTCCTGTGGCCATAAGTGTAATGTGTGTGTGTGTGGGTGTGTGTGTGTGTGTGTGTGTGGGGGGGGGGGGGGGGGGGGGGGGGGGGGGGGGGGGTGTGAGTGTGAGCCGACATTTTGTGATAGCAGAACTCACACTGGGCCTCTGTACCAGGTTGGAGCAGAGGGAAGCAAAAACCTCCAACCTGAAGGATGGAGTCAGACAGACAGTCAGTCAGATTATCCTGGTTGTTGCTCTGATCTTTAGCTCTGCTGCCGCCAACTCAAGTCTTTTGTTCTTTCCTTTCACTTTTGCCACCTGCACGTTGCTTGGGATGTTTGACGCCATTCAATATTCTCCAAGTCTAACACAAACATTGTTTCCCCAAATTTAGCAAATAGTCACTTTAAAAAAAAATCACGATTCCAATACTGACCCAAATATTGTTAACTCTACCCCACCTGTCTCCCTGCCCTCATGCTCCGGCCCAATCTCACACCTTTCCCTCTGTCTCCAAACGTCCGGCTGATATCAGAAGCTTTCTTTAGATCCAGTAGTCTGACGTTCACACGGCAGGTCTCTAGTTTTTTGCTGGAATCCAGTTTTTTTTTTTGTCCAATTCTTACTAATTAAATGCGACCACAATCAGATTTCTGTGTGAACGGTTTACAAATGGATGCCATCGTCTGTGGATCATCATTAAAGTTATTCAGGAATGGGAGTCAAACTTTATGGTCGTAAGAACATAATGACAACAAAGAAGCTAATAAAATAAAACATAGCCTCTGTTGTGGAGCACTGACTACTGCTTGTCTGTTTGGATGTGTAGTCAGACACAGACTTCTTTCATGGATATAATTTTCAGCCATTGTTAACATCTGGATTTACTGCATCTGTTGGTGCAGAATTATAATGTCTAACATCAATAACATAAATCATAAATAGAGTCAGATTAAATGCAATATGACTGTTAAGTCTGCAGATGGCCTGAAAACTACCAGATACATATCTGAAATAGTACTACATATGAAAGTGTCTGCCTTACTATAACTTGACCTGTTATTTGTAAAAACTCTGAAGACACAGTTTGAATCAGGCCTCAGCATTCCAGTTTGACCCATAGACATTGTGTCCAAGTCTGAGCCAACCCCACAAATTAACTTTAACTAGAGGTTTGAGCTCAAAGCAAACCCAACATATTTTCAATTAACATTTTACAGCTTTTGTTTTTAGACCATAATTTGAGTGAGCAGTGTAACGTCTCCCATTTTTAGCTTTAAGTGTAACGTCTTCCGGCACCATCTTGTCGCTTCTTGTTACCGCAGGGTGAGTCAAGTGCAAACGGTCTGGGCTGTGTGACTGAAAGCAGAGCAGCGGCGCGGGGCCACATGGGGATCTAATGTGCAGAGCGCTGTGCTTGTTACAGCCTAATGAACTTCTGCACATTCTATCCTCTATTTAGGCAATAAGAAGAAGATTAGCACAACTTTGTAAAAATGTTGCATAAACTTCTCTTGCTGAGTCCATTATTTCTGTCACTGCTAATGCAATTCCTGTTACATAGGAATGTCCAATAATTTAATCGAAATGGTTGAAAAAAAAAACTTTACGTGCTTTGAAAACACTATTATTCATTTCAAAAGATATTTTGAATGTAGAGACAAATCTATTTTTCAGACTTTGCTCCATAATTTAATTCGATAACAGGTTGTTGAGGGGCTAACATACTTGTTTGCGTGGGTGTGCGTGGGTGTGCGTGGGTGTGCGTGTGTGTGCGTGTGTGTGCGGGTGGGTGTGTATGTGTGCGTGAATTACTAATTCTACCATAGCTTAAAAAGTGGCTTTTTAGATGCTGTTGGATGTCGCCTATATAACCTACGTCACATTCCTCATTTAAAATAGCCTCCAAATTAACAGTGCCAGCAAAATCATTACTGTAATTAAAATTGCACAAACTTGAGCAAGTAATAACAGAGTGGTGGAGGCGTGTTCACCTGCGTGTCATCTCCATGGATATGTTTTCCAACTACAAGTGCTGTTTTTTTCTCTCGCTTTCAGAGTTTGATTTTTTTTTGTTGTTGTTTTTTTTCCCAAAAATTGACGATGCAGAAGATAGAAAACCATTCAACCATCAGCAGCAGGAAAAAAAAAAAATCATCACACAGCAGCAGAGCCAGGAAATGACTGAGAACTGGACAGAAACAGATAAGCTCTGTGAAGTTCACATTTCCTTCAATGTTTCTGACAATGTTAGATTTTTTTGTTTCCTTTTTATTGCTTTGACAAATCAATCATGTTCAAAAAAATAGAGCTTTTATGACAAAATAATTTAGAAAATAACCTTTTTTTTGCCACAATGCAGTCCTGTGTGTATTTGCCCAGTGCGACTCGCCAGTGTTTGAGCTCCTGGTTGTGACCTTGCCTCTGCCCTCCGCTGCTGTCAGACATTTATCTCTGTTTTCAGGAAACGGTCCGTGGAATCATAAGTTTCACCTGAAACAGCTGAATTTTCCCAGTGAGAAAAAATAAAGGACACTTCTGGTCTTTGTTTTGTTACGGTTTCGAGGCGGAAAGAGCAAAGAGAGAAAATGGTACCATCTTTCAGCCAGCTGAACCCGACAGTGAAGTTTGCATTAATTCTGCTAAAAAAACCCCAAAAAAACCTTAATGCTATAAATCTATCAATTAATTGAAATTAACCCGTTAAAATCCCAGCCATATATCTGTACAATATTATGTTGCATATTCCAATATACCTTGTGGTTTTTACCTAGAAGTGAAAATGACCAATTAGAATATTGATTTGTATAGCTCTCAACCTAAACCTATTCTTTTTATTTTTTATTTTCAGTCATTAGCCAATACTCAGCCATCACTTACTAAATGTTTGGTAAGTGATAGATCAGCAGACTGCAATGAAAAAATATCCTTTGAATACTTTGATTCCCTGAAAAAACAGAAATTATGACTTTAAAAAATGTTTTGACTGAACACCCTGTCTCTTTAAAAACTCCTCCTATTTCTGAAGCTCTGCCTTCAGAATGTCATCACAACATGGCTCCTCTATTAACCCTTCAAACAACATTTTACCAGCATTTCACTGAAAAGTAACTCTTCCGAGTTCCACCAGGTGTTTGCTAATTGGTGCTGGCTAGTCTGAAGGACCTGAGTGGGGGAGAGAAGGAGGAGGGCTGATCTGTGAGGCTGAAGCTTGAAAACTGCAGCTCAGAGGAGGAGCTACGTCCTTGTAGGCTGAGCCAGGTCCACCCAGGTCATTTGCACAGCTGAATTGTTGCTGTGGAACATTAACGGATTTCTGAAAAATGCATGACAGAATCAAGTCAAGCCTCCAGTTATCTTTCTGATGAATAGAGCCAGATAAAAATACAATATACATGCTTTACATTATAGCATGATGTAAAGCTAAAAAAAAGTCGATTTTACGTAATACTGCCTCTTTAAGAAAAACTCAGGACCGGTTAAGAAGGAAAGTAGGTGCCAGCATGCATACACACACACACACACACGCACACACACACAGACACACAGCATGACCATCACAGCACTGGAGAAAGAGCTTTGCTGGCCCTGCTCCTGATGCCAGCACTTCCGCTTTGCCTGCCTGGCAGGGAGCGACCCCATGACAGTGCACATTTTCTCTTCTTCCACCCATAACAAGAACAGCTTGTTCTGCTCCTGTCTAGACTGCGGCGCAAGGAGGAGGGGCAGGAACAGAAATACAATTCAACGAACAGGCCAGCATGACTGTTTTTTGGAAAGCCCTTTTTCCTTTCTTTAAAACAGCAATTAGTAAAGACAGAGTTACTTGCTCAGGCTGTCTGCTCCTCCTGCCTTTGATTTGGTCTCACCTATTACTTTGATCATCCTGTCTGACCTCTTTCGGTCTCATCACCTCTCTCTCCTAGAAGCTTCAGATTGATCACTTTGTTCAAGCTCGTCTCTTACCCCGTCTCCGTCCTGTGCAGCACTCCTTTACTCTGCTGTCGCCCGTTTTGTCTGCTGCTCATCCTCCCCTCACAGTCACACAACACTGCTGATAGGCTATTACAGAAATTAGATTCAATAAGTCTGGAAACGCTTGAAAATGTGAAGAATCTCCTAAACTGTCCTCTCCCTCATACCAACGCAGGTTAATTAATGTGATCCATGCAAGACAGAGGGTTAGGTTTAAGAACGTTCTACAAAGCATTTAGTTTCACATAAAGCTTTGAGAAGTGAGC